CCCCCCCCCCCCCCCCGCCCCACACTCGGCCCCAATTGGCATCGCCCAGGTGTGACTTTATGAATCGGTTAATGTCTCGGACTTTTTGCAACTTTTTGATGGGTTCACATGCGTTGAAAGGAGGCGCAAAGAGACTTTGAAGGTCGGCATCTTCAATTCATGATCATGTAGGCAGTGTGTCAGGGGGTGAGAGTGTGTGAGTGTCGCGTGGCCACTATCGCTTCGTTTTGCACAGTCTTTTTTTGTGACTTGCTAACCACTACACTACAGCGAATTACACATGCATCCTGTCGGAGACTCACACACACACCCAGGCAGACAGACAGACAGACAAGCAGACAGATAGACAAGCGGCAGCAAATGGCGCAACAATTGACACTTCTTTTGACCAGACCACACCCTTCTCTCTCTTGTCTGCTGACTGCACACCTCACCCCCCCAAGGCCACGCCGGCCAGAGGAAAAGGCAAAGGAAAGGAAAGGAAAAGAAAAAGACGACAACAGCAGATAGATGTAGATGGCACTCAGGCAGCCGCGCTGTACAACAAATTCTCTCACTATCGCTATGTGACTATCGCCCTCGGTGTCGCACCGCAGACATGGATCCTCCCCTCCCCCCCGCCCCACGTGTGTGTGTATGTGTGTTGCATCCTGTCAATCGACCACACGTACTGTACTCAGTACAGTGCCTTTCTACGTCATTACATGTGTTCCTTGGATCCGCGGTGCATGAGTTGGTTGTAGATCTCTCTTGTCTCCTCCGCCTTGGCCTGCTTCTGCTCGGTTTTGGCGGCTATCGATGACCGGCGGGCCTGGTCTATCTCACCAGCACTGAATTAAAGAAACAACAGACGCGAACAGGGAAGGCAGCGCAGCCATGGTAAGGTAAGATGGCGTTAGATCATAGAGGGTATGAAGAATGTGTCTTCAACATGCACATCAGTGCGTGTCAGTCTCGCCCAACACCGTGTTGTGAGTGGATTTATTGATTACCGCTGCACTTGTTCATCGGTGGCGCCCAGCTCGGACATGCGTCTTCTGCGCTCGTCGAGAATTGACTGTCTGCGCGCCTCAGCCTGATCCAACTTGCCGTCGGTCTTCTCCTGCAGATGAGATGCGCACAGGGATGGACAAACAAGCCATTCGAAGCTTGCCGCGGGTGGGATGTCTGTGTCTGTGTGCGTGTGTGTACAATGATGGCCCTCTTCATCATTTCCTCGATCTCCTTGGCCCTCTTCTCCACTTCTTCGGTCTGGCCGAGCTCTCGCATGCGCTCCTTCTCCTTCTCGAGGAACTCCAGGCGCCGTTTCTCTGCCTCGCTGAACCGACCCGCCTTTGCCTGCAGGATCAGGATCACAACACACACACAAACACACAAACGTGTCTGTGTCGCTACGTTGATGGGCATGACACAGACCTTCCCCCTCTCTCTCCCTCTCTCCCTCTCCCTCTCTCCCTCTCTCCCTCTTTGTGTGTGTGTCTGTGGCGAAAGGCTGCGATACCAGGATTTCCTCCTTGCGGGCCTCCTCGAGAGCCTCGGCCTTTTGCACTTGCGCGGTGGTATCGGCCAGCTGACTCATTCTGCGAGAAACCTCTCGCTGGTGCTCGATGCGGCGCTGCTCGGCTGCATCCAGCTTGCCGTCCGTCTTGTCCTGCACACGCACACAGACACACAGGTAGGAGGGCAGAATGAACCGGATACGGCATCAACGTCAGATCGAGAGTGCGTTTTAATTACGATGATGGCCTTCTTCTTCATTTCCTCGATCTCCTTGGCTCGTTTCTCGACCTCTTCCGTCTGCCCGAGCTCACGCATGCGCTCCTTCTCCTTCTCGAGGTGCTCCAGCCGTCTCTTCTCGGCCTCATCGAATCGATACTGACGACTCTGCAGACACATTGATTGATTCACAGACAGAAGGAGACACGAGATACGGGTGCCCACACATAGTTGGTCGGTCAGCTTTCTGCGCTGGTGAGTGCCCACCATGATGTCCTCCTTGCGTGCCTGCTCCATTGCCTCTGCCTTCTTGACCTGCGCCTCGGTGTCGGCTAGCTCGGCCATGCGCTTGGCCACTTGAGCCTGATGGTCCAGGCGGCGCTGTTCGGCGGCATCCAGCTTCCCTGTGCGAACCACACACCGACAGACAGACAGACAGACAGACAGATGTCACGATCGTGCCACTCTCTGACTCACCCACCCGTACACTTACCTGCCGTCTTGGAAACGATCTGTTCGACGTTTTTTTGCTGAATCTCAGCCGCGCGTTGGACGTGCTCCTCGGTGGCAGCGAGCTCCGCCATGCGCTTAGCCTTGTCCTCGAGCTGCTTCTTTCTCCGCTGCTCTGCTTCATCTAGCTTGCCGGCCTGCTTCTTCTTCATCTCCTCCTGCTTCTGTCTCTCGAGTTCCTTGGCCCGCTCGATGACCTGCTGCCGCTTGTCGCCCTTCTTCTTCTCGTGCTCAGCCTTCTTGGCCATCTCGTTCTTGCGACGCTCCTCCGCTGCGTCGAGCTTGCCCTCATTCTTGTCCTTGATGCCCTCGGTGCGCAACTTCTGCAGACAGACAGACAGACAGACAGACGACAGGAAGAGAAAGAGTGGGCGAAAATGAGTGGGTGGGGCTGAAGAGCTCTGGAGGTGGGGAGGGAGGCATACCTCGAGTGTTTCAGCGCGGTGCAGGTTGGCCTCGCGACGTTCTTGGATCTCCTGGGGGCTGCGCTTGCTGAGGCCTACCTTCTGGGAACACACACGCGGCGAAACAACGGACCCCCATCACCCGACAGTCACTCTCGTGTGGGTGTCTGTCACGTCCGTTTGTGTGTCTCTGTCTGGCGTACGTCCATCAGTTGTCCAACGGCGGTCTCGCTCTCGTTGGTGGCCGTCCTGATGGGGATGTTGACTTCCCCATCGTTGCTCTGCGGCCGGTGGCCGGGGCGGACGCCGCTCCGCACCACGTTCGACTGAATCTGCGACGACATTGTGTGCTTATGGATGGGGAAGGAAAGCTAATACAAGCCTGAGGAGAGCGTTGGTGTGTACAAGAGATGAGCGACAAGATCGTCACGGCACTCGTTG